ACCCGCCCCAGCTCCTTCCAGACCACCCGGCATCTTACCCCGCCACCTCCAGAAGTAAACTCGGGAGGCTGATGCCCCGAGCGCTGCGAGCCGCCAGCTGCGCGTAGATCTGCGGCAGCTTGAGCGCGGCGCACACGGCCAGCGTGCTCCAGTTGCAAAACCATAAGAGTCCAGCCTCCATGCTGCGGCCCGGAGCGCGCGAGATGCAGAAGCGAGGAGAACTCGCTGTGCACTGTATTCAGTCCTTCCGCCTTCCCGCCCGCCTGGCCACGCCCTCATCTGCTCTGCAGGCCGGCTCTACGCCGCCTAGGGGCGGTAGCTAGTCCTGCCCCGCCCTGCTCCTCCAGATGCTGATTCATTTTTCCGCGTTCCACCCACCAGTGGTGAGCTGGGAGGCTGGGAAACGCCCAGACCCGCCAGCTTCCCAGGGGCTGGTTGGGCACGGGGCCTAAGGACACCCCTCTTGGGGTGGACCATTCAGTTTGGATTTTCCACTCTACAAGAGTTATGCTTTTTCTTTAAGCATTTCAGAAATTAAAACTTTTATATATTTTTAAGGAGAAACCTATTTAAGTATTTATTTTTACTTTATGTTTGAGTGTTTGCATGTATGTAGGTAAACCACGTGCGTGCAGGTGCCTACGGAAGTCAGAAAAGAGCGTCAACCCCCGGCCCCCCAACTAAAGTTAGACACAGTTTTGAGCCACCATGTGGGTGCTGGGAACCTAACCTCTGCAAGAGCAAGTGCTCTTAATCTCTAAGTCATCTCTCCAGCCCAGAAAGTGTAACTTTTAAAGTCCTAGTCGCGGTTCTCCTGATCTTTCGGGTCCATAGGTGCCGGAGGTCACTCCTCAGGGCCTGTGAGACCTGCACCTCTGGTTCTTTCGAGCCCACAGACCTAGCCCTTCAGCTGTGGAAGACTTTTCTGCGGGAAGCTGATCCTGTTAGTGAGCTTGCCTCCTAAACCTGGAGCTTGTTTTCCTGTGTTGTGTTTTGTTGAAACAGGCTGATGGATAAAATAATCATATAACAAATAGGGTTGATGGGGAGAAAGCACCAGGACACAGATAAAACTCCATCAGAATAGAGTTTATTAGCAAAGGAACACACGGGACAGATTCCCTTCTGGGCTGGGAAAAGGTCTGCCCGGGTGGTGAGCTGGGGACTTTGTAAGGGGTGGGGGCTTCTAGGGGGGGTGCAAAAGGCAGGAAGATTGTTTTTTTCAAGTTGGGGGAGTGGGACTGTTAAAACCTGCCCCCTTTAGAGATCAAAGGGGAAGCCTGCTGTGTTGGCCAAACAGTGGAGAAAAGTCTGCTTCTCTTAACTTCAAAGACCAGGGTGCTTATCAACTCAGTTCTCTTTTCTCAGGGGCTGCGAGGCCCGGTTGGTGAGGAGGTGGGGCTATCTGAACCTTAACAATGTGGTCAACCTTAGACCTTGACCACAGCCAGAGATCCCTGAAGTTGCTGCTCTGGAGGTCAGCTGTTGAGTCCAGGCTGGAGGGAGAGGATTTCTGGCCAGCTTGGAAACTTCTCATATTGACTTTATGTAAAGTCAAGGATGTGGGGGCATGAGGGCATGGCATCCTCCCAGCCTTGGCTTTTCAGGTCATATGACCTTGGAAAACACTTCTTTATAGCTCCTTCATTTCAAAATATGGGAAATGGACTGCAATATAGCTCAGTTGGTAGGGTCCTTGCCTAGCATGCACAAAACTCTTGAGTTTGATTTCTCAGCACCACATCGATTGGGTGTGGTGGCACACTCCAGAGGGTAGACAGGGGCAGAAGGATCAGGAAAGTTCAAGGTTGGGAGCTGAGGATGTAACTCGGTAGAGTACAGTTTCTTAGCATACATGAGGTCTGGGGTTCAAGCTTCAATAAACATGCCTGTAGCCTGTAATAGCTGAACTCTGGAGGTACAGACACGAGGAGCAGAAGTTTAAGGTTAGCAAGTTGGAAGTCAGCCTGGGCTACATGAGATCATTTAAAAAAATAAGTTCAGGGTCATTGTTCTAGTTTGTTTCTCCATTGCTGTGACAAAACACTCTGATCAATACTAACTTGGGGAGGAAAGGGTTTATTCAGCTTACATCTCCAGGGTCACAGTTCATCAGGGAGCCCCAGGTAGGAACTCAGGGCAGGAACCTGGAGGCAGGAGCTGGAGCACAGGCCAAGGAAGAACTCTGCTTACTGGCTTGCTCCCCTGGCCCCTGCTCAGCCTGCTTTCTTATGCAACACAGGCCCACCTGCCCAGGAGTGGCACCACCCATGGTGGGCTGGGCCCTCTTCAACAATCAAGATGCCCCACAGACATGGCCACAGGCCAGTCCTATGGAGGCAATTCCCCAATTGAGGCCCCCTCAACCCAGGTGTATCAAAAAGAAAGTAAAGCTATCCAGCACAGTCATCCTCAGCTACATAACAAGTTTGAGATCAGGCTGGACTATATGAACTCTTACCTCAGAAACAAAGTAAAATAAAATAATAAAACATGGAAACCATCCCACCTCAACAGGTTGGTGAGAAGCACAGAGTGGTGCTCTATTTATGGTAATCACACACACCACAGGGACAAGCTAGGGAAATGTATGTAGGATTCATGGGCACTGATTTTGCATCTGAATCTCTGGGGTATGGGACTAATGTAAAGTGGAGTTGAGAGGCCATAGGAAAGCATTCAGGTCCCAGCCCCATACCTCAGCTGGGCCATCCCTTATCATGCAGCTCTTCCTCTAGAAATCTGCAACAAGACAGCTGATCTTTGGGGCTCCTGTGTCTTTGAGGTTTGGGGCAGTTCCTAGAGGGTAGATCTGTGCAATGCACATCCACTGAAACACTGTCTCCTCCCCACTACTGAGTTCCACAGACACATGAGCCTCACCCTGTCCCTGCTCCTTAGCCACAGCTGAAAGCAGGAGTTCACTCCTTCCTAAAGCTGACCAAGAATACTCTTCTTGGGGACTCAGGACTGAGTGCCACATCTTCCTAGCTGGGAGAGGCAAACAGCAGCAGTGGTGGGCATTTCTCCCATCTTGGGTTTTTTTTTTTTTTAAGTCTTCAATGACTAACTGTAGTAATGACTTTTACTGTATGGACACAAGCTGGACTAATGGTTTTCAACTAATCTTGGAACCAAAATTTCCTATTTGTAATGTAAACAACTTCACTGAGGCATGTACTCCTTTTGTGAATTTGTTATATGCCTTAGTCCCTCTGGACCCTTCCTTGCCCTCTCCCCAAGATAGTGTGTAAATGTGTGTATCCATTTCAAAATATCAAAGTGCTGCAAACAGCTTGCTTATCTAATTGAAAGCAAAGAGAGAATTTATGCATCTGTTCTTAATTTTTTTTTTTTTTTGTGTTGTGTGTGTGTGTGTGTGTGTGTGTGTCTAGGTGTAGGGATCAGAAAGGGCAAAATTCTCTGATAAGGGTAGGTCTGACTTTTACCTATTTCATGTTGGATAAACTGTTTCAATAACGAATGAATGAGGCTCTTGCTGTGGAGCACAGTTCTGAGAAAAATCTGAAGGAACAGGGTCTCAGTAGTTCACATCCACTCTTTGCCTTACAATGGGTGCTAAGAGTCAGACTGTTTCTTCGGTTAAGGCATAACTGTAATGCAGTATAAATGCCACACCTAACCCTAGAGGACTGTCATCTAGATTAAGCAATAGTCAGAATTTTTGTCTACTATTGGTTTAACTGTATTTATACACCATACCGAGGCTACTTGCCAGTTTGCTGTGGACACATTGCCTGTCAGTATGGATCCTTTGAACAAGGGCATTTTACATCGAGTTTTCTTAAACTTCTACTCATAGGCCCCTTTTCACCTGAGAAAGTTTTATGTCACCTTAGGTATATAGTTATATAAATATTAAAACATTTATTGATAATAGATCATAAAGAAGCTTCTAATATAAAAATAAATTGGTTTATCAGGGCCAACTGTATGGCCTTAAACATCCAAAAAGAAAGTATAACCAAAGATTAAAGGGGTCAATATAATTTCTTAAGAGTCAACATGCATAGTTAAAGGCTACATAACAAGCAACAATGCCAGATAGGAGATACC